GTGCGACTAAAATTTTGTCTACAACTGTATTTAAAAGTCGACGGTATACTCGCAACGTCTGAGGCTTTTCCAATTGATCTCAGACTTCTTATGTAATAGTTTTTCGAATAACCTCTAATTTCTAAAAATAAAGTCTATTTATTTTCCAGATTTTTGAAGGCTTTCGCGTATTTTTTTGAGAGTTTTCAAGATTTATCTGCATTTTTCGTGGTTTTTCGAATTCTAGTTTTCAGGATTTTTTTTCGAGAACCGTTGCTAGTAGTTCGTCACTTTTCTGGATTTTAACGCGCTTATTTTTTTTTGGGGGATATTTATGTAATTTTAAGAGATTTTTCAGAGTTTTACGGAATTTTTCAGAAAATTATATATTATTAATTAAATTATTATTTCTAAATTATTATTTTTAAATTATTATATTTATGTCCAACAATTTTATTGAGCTTGGGGTTGTTTTTAATGAAATTTTTTTGTGGAAAAATAACAATAATTTACATAAGGTAGAAATTACAGCTGCTATATATATGTATTCCGGATTTCACCACAGCTCCTCATCAAACGTTTTCATCTAGTTTACGTCTAGACCATTGGCTCTGTAAGCCGGAGCTGCTGGCTCGAATACCAGAAAACTCGATGAAGAAATGTGACCAGGGTGTGGTGATCTCCGAAAAGGCATCTATAATATCTACCATATGTGTTTTAAATAAAACGGCTTGATAAAATTGTGGAATATAAATTGTTATTAGGCCAAAAACTAATATAAAAAAACGTAAGTCACCAATACTGTTCTCTTGCAATTTTTCGGATTCCATTGAAGTTTTAGATGAATTTTTTAGTATTTTTTTGGGGGATTGTGTAAGATTTCTTTTAACTTTTCGGGATCCTTCCAACACGGTGGGCAGGAAGCAAAGATAGGTTGCATAAAAATGTCGACAAAAACTGAAAGCAGGGTTGTATTTGTTGATATTTTTAGGTTAAGAATCCCTTTGAATTGAAATCCTAGCTGCTCCTGTTTTAAAGATATCAACATTTTACATAGTTATGATAGGACCGACTTTTGCGAAAGAGAAAAACATCCTTTTGCAATAAATATTCAACAATGTATGTGTGAGTAAATGTGTGTATATATATTATGTGAAAATATAAGTTTTTAGCCGGTTTCAATCGTTTCCAAGGCGCACCACGTAGAGGCAACTTACTTTGCACCTCTTTGTTCTTTTTTTGGTTTTATTTTTTTATATTTTTTTCTTGCTTTATTTTTTTATATTTGTTTTTTGTTTCCTTTTATTTTTTTGTTGGCTTACCATATAATATAGTCACACATTTTAGTATATAAATATTTTATTATTTAGTTAAGTTTTTATATATGCTGGAATGAAAATGTCATTACAGTTTTCTTCAGGCGACTTACAAAAGTTGGTTTATCAATCATATTTATTTTGAATCTATCCCAGAATTTAATGAATTCCCTATGAACTGACTTCCCGGCCTGCTCGGACCATAATCCTAAACCATCGTTATTCAGAAATAGATTGCTTCAAATGTTTAAGGATAAAATGGATCTTGACAGTTTGAGAAATTCCAGTACTTTTCAAAGCTGTGCGGAGTTCGTTAAGATTTTTATCAAAATTACTAAGATCCGCTTGTTTTGCGGAAAACCATGTATTCACGATTTTGCTCATGGCTTTGAACGAGGCAATATATTTGGTATTGTTTTTACTGAGAGTTTCTTCCATACAAACTATGTTCGACATTTTTTTGTATGTGGAAGACACTGTCAGCAAAAAATAAATAATTGCAAAAAATCAACGAAGTTTTCTGGTAACTTCAGACTTGCACTTTACTAATTGGCTCAAAAGCTACATTTTAAACATTTTTCTAAAAGATCTGATTAGAAATTGTGATCAGATGAAAGTGTCTCCGAGCCAATAATTTTGTACGGCACGGTACTTATAAGTAATCTAGGTTTCACGAAAAAAAATAAATAAATACAAGGTAACATTAAAATATCAGTCAATTGTTTCGTTGCTGTGAGCTTGTTTCAAAACTTCTGGCTTTTGCTATAATTGTAAAACTCTGTGCATGTCATTTTAACGTTTTTAGGTACATACTTATATTAATCATCAACTATTGCTTATGCAAAACGTGCTACATTTAAAAAAAAAATCGCATATGAAAGAGCACCAACCCAACTCGTAATAATTTAAGTATACAAATTTTAGTATTTAGTATAGAAATATTCAATTGAAATACGCCAATATTAAAATGAAGCGCTTTGCACTTAACGGATGCTTTTTCATAATTAAGTTAAAAAAAAAATTTATTTAAATTCCATGCTGTCTGTAATGAGATTTGAACCCTGACGCTCTGGAAATTAGCAAATTGTGGCAAGCATCTTCGTGCACTCAGCTACAGCCAGACATGTAAATGTGCATTCAAATGTTCAGTTTGATTCAACACCACGTGTGCGTGGTATGAAAGTATTGTTTTTAAGTACGAACATTTCAAAACGATAATCAAATAAAAAATATTCATGTTTACTATGCGTTATTTCCCCGAGTAAATTCATAAAATTTTTCTTAATATTACAACGCGTTTTTTCTCTCAGCGTAGTCATTTTTAAGCAAAATTTGTGCAATCAAATCGAAAACCGGGACACTTAAATGAAACCCGGGACATTTTAAGGTTGGACCGGGACATCGGGACAAATAGTCTAAAACCGGGACATGTCCGGGAAAACCGGGACGTCTGGCAGCCCTACACACAAAGCGCATACTTTCATGCGATTTTCTTTATGATCGCATTTGTGTTATGGATGTACAATAGTCATTATTTCCTGACAGAAGAGTACATAAATACCAAAATAAATCTCATACAAGCTTTGAATTTATTTACTTATTATGAGGAGTACCATTGGAATAAGTTAGAGCATTTTTATTTCTTGCACAAGCGCAGTGCGACTTGCCTGCGCTACTTGCTTATAGCAACAAACCTTTAATAAAAAATTACTACCGTATTATATAGCATACAATATTGTATACATACATACATATATTGCGATATTGAAAGTGTTTGTAATGAGAAAGTTCACGCTACAGAAAAAGGTAATTGTGGTGTTTTATCTAAGTTGTATACCGGTAGCGCCCAATAAATCTCGATCAATTATTCTTTCGGTAGGAAAAAATGAAAATGTTTCACATTGATTTGATCCGTTTTAGTGAGTTAAAAAAGGGGAACAGATTTGTATGAGATTTCTTTTCGTATAAATATGCTCTAATTATCGAGAAGTACGCCTTCCTCTTTTGCAAATATATCCTATCAGAAGTATATAAAATGTGGATATCTTTAAAACAGGAGCAGCTAGGATTTCAATTTAAGCGGATTCTTAACCTTAAGATATCAACAAATACAACCCTGCTTTCAGATTTTGTCGACATTTTTATGCAACCTATCTTCGCTTCCTGCCCACCGTGCCAAGTAGGGTGACCAGATGACAGGACAGGACACTGTATTTTTTGAATGTTAGCACAATCACTTTCTTTTCCATGAGACTTGAGTTTTGAAATGATTGTTTTTACGCTCAATGGTAAGAATTGACAGTTCTCAGTTGAGAGTTGTGGGATATAGGCAATTGCAAGCGACGATGTGAAAATCTTTTTCAAGGTCACCAACAAAAGCCGCTCACCTTCTTTAACTACAATAGGTAGCATGCTAAGGATACAACTCAATAGATATCTTATGGTATCTTCATTCGCCACTGTTGTGGCAACAAACCAGTTGTACCTTGACACAGGGGTTCTCTATTTATGTGTTAGTGACCACCGAAAAATTTTCTTCGTGTATTGTAGTTTCGGTCATTCGAGTTTTGCAGGGATGTTATTATGTGAACAATGTACAAAAAAAAAAACACCTAACGATATGCTTACGCGGTAAAACAGTTTATAAAGGATCAGCTTTGTAAAAATCAGGAAAAATGAAAAACCAGTCAGGTTACTTTAATTCGACCCTGACATCAGGACATATTCTGATAAATCAGCACGTCTGGTCACCCTACTTCCAAGCGTACTTTTCGGTATATTTCTCATTATTTTTACTTTTTTTTACGGATTTGTAAAGATTTTCTGAGATTTTTCGTAACTTTTTTGTTATATTTTTCAGGATTTGTAGGGAATATTTGAAATTTTTTGTTGCTTTTAAAATTCGTTCCGGTATTTTTCGGCACACTTCAGGATTTTTTAGGATTTTTTCGTCAGGCAAACAGAAATGGGAAAAAAATTTTGGTGCACCAAATATTAAAGCTGTTTTTGGTAGGCTTTTTGGTGCTGATTCAGAATCTGTAAGTGCAGTGGAGCTGATGGAAAGCTCCAGATTTTGAGAAAAACGATGTCAAAGTGTAAAAAAATTGCAAAGAAACAAAAGGTGATAGAACCTTCTACTCGCGCTGCAACTAAATCTAGAGCTTTGCACCTTGACCAGATAGTCACTTATAATCATTTATTAAACAATAAAAAATACTGGAAAATTATGCTATTGAAAACAAACAAATTGTTCCAAAATCAGTTTTTGCTGTGCAATAAATGACTTTAAGTGACCGTCAGATCAAGGATTGTATTCGAAAGTTCAAACCTTAATTTAGGGCTAAGTGGAAGGTTCTATAAGTTTTTGTTTCTTTGATAGGGCTTCTCAAATATTGCAAAAAAAATCTTTTTTTTTTACATTTTGACCTCGGCTGATGGAAACTCTTTACTTACGGATTCTTGCCGCACCAATATCAGTGTTGCCCAGTGTTTTTCGGAATTTTGCGGGAAAGTTGTAAGGAAAAAAGTGCATTTTAATCTTTTAGAATGCCTAAAAAAAGTTAAATGCTACTGATTATTTTCTGCTCAAAACAATATCGCGTCTTTCTCATTCTCATTAAAAACTTAAAGGCGAAAACTTAACAGCGTTTTTTGTTTGAAATTATTATTAAAATAACAAAACTATTTTGCTTTTACAACACTTACCCATTAGCACGAAATTCGTTGGCGTCGCCAAATGTTTCTTGCTCAATACCAACACTATCAGCGAATTCGCAGCAACCGTAATGATCAACAGAAAGGGCATAAAATACCCATATAAAGGCATGCCATATTCCAGCGGGTTATCACAAGTCACATTCCAATATGACCAGTTGGAGACTATATCGAAGGATTCACAGGGCGGCAGATAGTCATAATAATCGCTCGAGTTCTGATCGAACAATTGTGTGTCATTGTAGTCATTCGTGCTATCTATAGCCGCTAACATAGCCGCACTTAGGCCACTATAACTGCCAGCAATTGTTGCAGCGCTGTCGCTCCACTCCAAAGCATCATCACCGCTACTGCCGCCAACATCATCACGCGGGTAGAAAGCTGCTATCGCTGTAGTCGGTATCGATGTCGATGTCGGCGTAGCTCCACTGCTATAGAACGCTGTCGTAAATGTGGAATTTAAATTACCCGTTTGCTGTATGGGGGCCATAATCGTGGCTGCGACTTCCGTGTCGGTTACAAGACTTGCGTATGTTGAGTTATGTTGTTGTGCCAGCTGTGCAGCAGTCATATTTTGTCACAATCTATCGAATAAGGACAGTTCTTCCGCTTGCACGCCGTTGTTTTACGCGCTCAATTTGCCTGGGCAAAAATGTCTTTAACGGCAACAATGGCGAAGCGCGTGGTAGCTTACGCTATATTTGTTTTGTTTTTGTTCTGACTTGGTTGCGGTTTGTAAGCAATGGAATAAATGTTTTGTTATTTTTTGCATATATTCATACAAAAGGCGGTTCCCCAAATGTCTTATGGAAATTTCTGTGCCTAGTTATTTGAATCTGTTCGTTGCACTTGTGGCTTGGTTTTGAATTTTGTCTCTTTCGCCATTTTTGTTGTTCGTTTTATATTCTTACAAGTTAGTTTTTTCATTATTACATACTTCAAATTGAAATCTTCTTAGTTCTTCAAAATATGCCTGCAAGTAAATGAAAAATAATTGTTTTAAGACCAATTTGTATGAAAACTATAAAGTTTTGATTTCAAAAAGGATTGCCTACATCTACTGCGTCTTCTAGTATGCCAACTTGGGGTATGCTATGCAGATTCCTAGAAGTACATCAAAAGTACTTCTCTAAGAAACGCACTGTGAAATTGGCCCTTAGTGGTTTGTGTTATCCAGGTATATGGGCATATATCGGGAACTTTTGAATTTAATGGTTATGTATAGTTTCGTAAATATATGGTCAATATATGTGTTGGGTATTTTTCAGAAGAAAATATGTTATAATAAGAATTATTGTAGTGTTTTATCCGATCTGAAACAATACCCGAATCCCAAAACTAGCTAAAATACCAGTGAGTCAAAGTCGTCACTGAGCACTGTTTTTTTCTTTTGAACGGTGTATTTGCTTTACCGAATATTTTTGAGCACTGATATTTTTTTGCTAATAATCTTAAATCTATTTGTATTATAAAAATATAGCACACGTAGGTGTACCGTTGATAGATTATGTTATTAAAATTTAACTAAGTTCTCCTAACTTTTCATGTATTTTTTATTGTTTTATTTTTGAAAATGGTATTATTTAATATTCTACTTCTTGAAAATGACACCTGAGTTGAATGTGTGCATATAATAGCACCAGACTTATGAGTATTCGAAATTTAGTACCTGAAATAAACAGCAAGAAGAAAATTTATTTTTCCGCTGGCACACTTTTTATCGCCAGGTGGATAGAGTTTTGTGCTAGAAACTGATTGTTCGACATTTGTTTAATGTGTTCATAAATCGTTAAGTATATAAACAAATTTTAAGCTAGTTATCGAGGCGAAAGATTTCAAATTTTAATCAATTAGATACACAGGACCACAAAAAACTAAATGACAAGTTAATTTAACCAGACTAGATGTTTCATGTGTTTTTGGGGTCACTGAACACGAATCTAAAGTCCATTTTGATCTGATACGTCAGAGTTTTTTTCTAACCTAACCTTTGCTATGTTTTTTGAGGCTAGAAAAAAAATTGGACGTGATTGAGCAAAGCGGACTTCAGATTAGTTTTCAGCGACCCTAAAAACATTATGGAACAACTAATCTAGTCAAAATAACCACTCATCAATTTTTTTTAGTCATGTGTTATTTATAATTTGTATAGTTTTTTACTATTCTTTTTTTTTACATTACCGAGCTAATTTTTTTACTTATGTCTCAAGGTTCAAAGAACAAGATGAAATCTGTTAGATGAGGTGCCAAAATTTAATTTTTTTTTCAAATGTCGAAAATCAAAGGTTCCTGTGATATGCCCATACACGAGTTCTATTTTTATGTCCGCATTGCTCTTTTGAACATCACTGTAATGCTCAGACCTATTTACGACGTACACACATTATAAATTTACGCATTTATGCACAAATACTACATTAAAATGCACAACGTACAAATCGCCTTAAACTAATTATTCGCTATCTCATTTCACAGCTGGTGCAAAACTCAAATTTCCAATTCATTCACCTATCAACCGCATTTCAATTCCATTCAAATTCACACAACGTGTTTGTAATTGGGCGATTCTCAGTAAATTATCTCATCCTTCTAATGCAGGTCGAGTAATTAGCAATCGAATTGGTTTGATATTTGACAGTCGACTAATAATGAAGCCATGATTGCACTTTTGCATTTTCCAATTTAATGCTTTTAATTATTAATTTGCACACTGCCAGGGAATGGCCAGTGTAAATTGAATGAGGTGAATAGCCCTGTGTGTAGGTGAAATGTAAAATTTTAATAAGGATTATTTACTGCTTTTGCGCTGCATACTACCACGAGTTATTGAATTGAACGGATCTATAAATGCAAATGGTTCCTATTGGGTTGTTCACAATTCGTTCCACATTGGGTGTAGCCGTCTATATTTTGAGAAAGTTTTAGTATCAAACTGTGAGCACCCTTTTCTAGCAGTTGCGACTATTTTTTAAATATATGTCGCCTTTCATTTTGGTTATGAAAAAATTTAATTGGGTATAGGTTTTTGAGGTCTCCTGAAGGGAAGCAGTGTTTGCGGATTAAACAATACTGATTCTCGAGGATGCTATTTCTATAAAATACATGGGAAATTTTTGGCTTTTAGAGCGACCTTAAAAATTTTTTTATTAAAGAAAAAAACAGGCGTATTTTTTTTCGAAGTGAAACAATCCTAGTGGGTGAGATCATTCGACTTTACTTTTCTCACATGCATCTTTTGATCACACGAATTTCTGATTTCTTGGTTGCTAGGATAAGCATTGTTTGCCCAAGATTAAGTTCCACGCTCAGCTGCTGTTAAACCTCAGAAATCTTCTCGCGAGTTTTAATGAAATACGATCCTGAGTGCTTAGGCCTTGACTTAGCAGAAGTTTGTCAACTGAGAAGAAAATGTTGAAATGAGTTCAACTCATTATTTTTCAAGACTCATTATTTGCAAGACTCCTGTCAGCGCAGAGAAGTGGCGCTTGGTTAGCTAAAAGAAGCTCGTTTGGCCGCTTATGGCACACTACCGTGGCAACTTCTGCAAGTCGCACGCTGATCTTACTTAAAGCCCATCTGCTCTGGAATGCACGCAATTCATGAAAACTAAATAAAGTAAGCGAATACGCGCATCATGGCAGCCATTCATGTTTAGCAGCATGCCTTGCATAAGTCTCGTTAAAATTTTCTTGTCTCGGATTTATAAAGATATCTTATAAAGCTATTTTTCTTTTTAAGATTTGAATGTAGGCCACAGCAAAGATACTTTATTGATGAAGTAGGTCAGGTTATACTAGCTGACTATAAAAGGTCTTCTATAGACGAAGATAACATCCCTTGTGTAGCCAGGTATGTTTACGCCCCATGGGCATTCATTAAATGGAGAAGAATATTGCCATTAATTTCGTTTGATTTCCTGAAAAGGAATTGGTATATCCAGCTCTCATTCCTTCAGAGTAATGGATCGCAATATAGCTTGGCGGTTTTAGCCTTTTTCTAGCTTTCTTACTGTCATAAAACCCGCCGACTGCCCTTGTATTATCGTTTTCTTTCATACAGCAAAGTATTGCCTTCTTTTTGCTCTCTTCGCACAAATACTAAGAAGAGGAGGAAAAAAACTAAATATTTTGTAGAAACAAAAAACCGCGATATACAAATGCTTATTTTAGTTAGTATCTCTGCCTATTTCTTTATTTCAAAGACCTCGACTTGATAGATACTGCGATCTGGTAGCTTAAAGGAGCTAGGAATTTTCGGTTCGGTGCAGTATATGCTGCTCCTATTCCTTCGTCCATTTTGGGTAAATACGCATTGTATTGCCTTACGTCAAGTTCTGTTCAAGCTGCTAGAGACTTTTCGAAGCACAGATGCGGGATCACATTCGGTCAGTCAATAGGATGTTTTCGCTAATTTGAATGTATTTGTGTTTATATCTATGGCCTCGGGCTACTTCATCTCAACTGGTCGATAGCCGTCTATCTATCTTGAAGACCGTGATAAAGACTATCTTAACTCGATGAACTATCGTGACCTTGTACTAACTCAGCTTTGTCAGACAACCTATCCTAACTCAGACGCGATAAATTTTTTAGTTTTCACTCGATGGCTTTTAATAATAAAGGTAATTTTTTGGCCGAGTTTCTCCTCCGATTTGTGGCATTCGCCTTGATGTTGTAACGCAGCGAATTTGTCATGTGGATCTGGATCTTATAATTCTTCGATATGCAGACCAATTTCTTCCAAATCAGTTCTTCACTGCTTGCCTCGGCCTTGGTTTCTTGTCTCGCCAGTATCATAACACTGCAAAATTGTCTCTCATTGCCAATGCTCAGCATCAGTTTCGGTGTAGTGAATGGAGATAAGATAATTAGATATGTGAACTTCTTACCTCAAAGAGATTTCTGAAAACACACATGAGTGCATAGGCATATGTACATTAATGCAAATACATACGAGGAAATATGTTTTGGCTATGACTTATCTGGCAGAAAATATGTGAAAAATTGCTTTCAGCTGGTTTGTTGGTAATTAGTTTTAACTTTTCTTTGCTGCACATAATTTATTTCTATGCCACACATTCTGCGTAAACTTTCTGCACTTACATCCACACGCGACAATAATGCTGAAAGCAACTTTCACATATTAAACATTTTTTCTCCTTAGTTTTTGCAACACTAGCAAAACTATAAAAACTTTAGGGCATTAATAAAAACTTGGTGTGGCAGATTAACAACCCAAGTATTCGGAAAATATACCATTAAGCTCACTAAGCTTGCAGTGGCGTATAAGCCATATTTTCAAGTTTCTAACTATCGGCTGTTTTCGCGCCTTGAGCTGCGGAAATTTCTTTTCAGCGCGACATACATAACTTGACAACACTCGAATGGGACGACCTGGAGAAACTATTCTCACATGCTGGAAAAGCGTTTCTATTTGAATCGATAACATGTAGTCTGGCTTTGACGCATTCATATTCTACAAAAAAAAAAACAAAAAAAAAGTTTTGGTACTCAAAGTTAATGGAGGACAATTTTGTTCCCTTTACAATTTTGACTTTTACGCAAATGCCGTATGGCATATGTGCGTGGATGTATCTAGATTAGGGTAGTCCAAAAAAGTAAATCGGAATTTGAATGCTCTCACACCTTAGGATTGTTCAATGCCGAGAATATATACGCTCATTTTTTTATTTTATAATCAAAAAATATTTCGAGGTCGCCTAAAGCGCTCAAAGTTTTCCATGTATTTTATTTGGGAACAAAACCTTTTTTCGTAGAAATGGTATAGAATTCTTGAAAATCAATATTTT